TATATAAATATGTTACTTCTATTGTAAAAATAACCTGAGTAAACAAACTACATAACAAAACATACATAAAATAATGTCATTAAAATGTATATAATTTGAACAGTAATTTATAGTATCCAAATTAAAATGTTTAACTATTTAATACTCATTTTGAGGTTTATCGTTTTTTATGYACCTGAATGTATYCGAGTTTAACACAAAAAAAATAAAACAATCAGCAAATATTATTGTTCCTTATTACCCTTGTTTAATATTTAATTGAAAGTTAAAAAAATTGGTTTTAAGCCTAATTATTTTATCTCCTATAAATAGGAAAAAATTGAATTAACTATTGAATATATTTCCTATTGATGGTTCAGTAGTGTGAATCTACATGACATGAGTAATAAACTCACATTGTTTTAAACATTATAAAATTCATTGACTTGGGACGATTGAAGTTCAATTTGTGCCATTTTAAATTGTAACGTTTGTAGCCATTTAAGAATATCTAAATTGACTTCTGATTTGGAAAGATCAGATCTAGGCTTAACTGTTGGAGGCTCTCTAGGTTCAAATTCAATGCATGTATCTAAACGTAATTTCATATGGCCTGGTAACTATAATAAATATAATAATTTACTTAAAATACATAATCAACATATATATATATATATCTCAAGATATAATTACATGTATTAAATACTATACCTTAATATTTTTATCAGTAAATAAAACCTCTTTCCACATAGGTATAAGTTTACACAATGTCACTGAACGACACTCTAGTAATGCTTCAAGTAAACTCAAAAAATGCAAGTTTACCATTTCTCCCATCTAAAATAAAAATATATACATAATATTAAACTCGAATGATGTTTACATTATTATGAAATATATATATATWTTTTTTGAGTATTTCTTAATAATTTAACTTACCGTTTTGGATTTAGATGATAAGTTTAGCATACTTTGAGTAACTTTATTCCAAAAATCATGTAATATGTTCATTGTAAATGAGTGATGATCGCCAGCTGTTACCATTTGTTGAGCTGTTTGTTCCATATAAATTGTCCATAACTAATAAATAAATGTTTATCACTCTAATGTTTTGACTTTATAAGTGGTTTCATAAATACAGGTCTTATAATATAATATATTATTATTTGTATAATTGAGCGTTGTTACTTGACAAAGTACAAAGGCGTGGAAAAGTGAAGACATATGAATGACTGATGATTTTGATTCTACTGCAAATCCAGTCATTATAACATTAACATGATCAGCTATTTGACATGAAACGTCTTGAGATAGTGGTAGACAAGGTCTGTTCTGCATTGTAGTATATGAGAGTGATCCAATTAGAATCCATGATAATAAACGTATGTGACTGAGACAATCCGAGAAGTCTTTACAGTTGTATATAAATAATCTAAAATGCACATTTAATATTTATTATACA